CAATATTTGGGTCTCGATATTGAAAAAACATGGAAATGGGGAAACTTGAGGGAACTGACTTCGGATACCGAGTGAACCTCAGTGCTATCAACCACTGCTCAACCTCCATTGTGCAGGCAAAGCTCCACTGGTTCCTTCCTTCCTTCACTCTCACTTATTGCACTGGGAACTGTGCAGTTTACTTTATTTTCCAGGGAACTTTATTTTCCAGGGAACTGAAATTTACCTCTTCTGTTTTTGTGTTACACTTTGTAATCTTGAGTTTTAGTAATTTGGATATGTGATCATTTGTGGCAACAACAGAGAAGATACACATTCCTTCTAAATACAAGTTTGGGGGCTGTAGACATTCCAATAATTTCTAGATAGGTGCTTATGTTTCTCTCTGGTATCTGCCATGGATATATTAAGGATGATACAAATAAAATAGCAACCACATTTTTCAGATATGCAAGATGAACACAAATGGCTAGCTGCATGGAAGCAGGGGCCTTGTTGGCAAAGGAAAGGATTACAATGTCTTCCATGTAATGCTTATTTTGTAGTGTTTTGCCCTACAATTAATATGAGTGCAAATTAATGGTGACTTGGATGATACAGCCATTACAGGAGAAGGGGTTTATAATCTCAATTGTCTCTGCAGTTTCACAAAGTGTCTCTCCCTCCCCATCCCAACACTCTCTCAGGATCCTAAGTAAGAACTAAGTCAAGTCAATTCTAACTTATGGTCGTTGGTGTTTATATAATTATACAACACAGAATGTGTATATGTGTATCTGTATGTTTAAATGTGTTTGCTATGAAAGAGCAGAATGTTGTATTTTCATAGCACAGGATTCTGACCAAGCAGAACATGTCTGTAGTCAGCTAGGCTGCTATATAAGGGAAGTGCAAGATAGGGGTCTGTCAGACAAGGTCCAATATGTGACAGAGACAAAACGAAATATATAATATCTCAGATGGAACTTAACATGTAACAGATAGGGTCTAACAACAATATGTAACTCAGCAAATAACAATGTACAAACATGTTTCAGTAACAGGACTAAAGATGGTCTCAGTGACAGGATTAAAGATGTAACTAATACGTAATAAGGCCAGTTAGGGCTTACAAATGTAATAGTATAACAGTGAGAAAGTTAGTTATTTACCAGAGAAAATATGTCTCTCAATAAGTCAAGAACATGTATGACACATATCAAATGTCTAAGGATTATGAGTTATATTTTACAGATGTTTATAAATAGTAAAAGTTACGCAATGTTTTAAACAAATGCACAAGTGATTATTCAACTATCAATTGCTGGAACAAAAAAAAAGATAAGGGAGATCGCCATATTTTATTCTATACAAAAGTGTGTGTTTTTAATCTATATGCTTCAAGCTTCTGTGTGCACACTCTGCAAAATTAGAGGTCATATATTATTTATCATAACAAAAAGCCAACAATAGCAACACTTTTCAGGATTTTCCAGGTTCAGAGTACTCAGAAATGGTTTAGCAGTCAATTATTATGGGAGCATTCTGGGACTGTGCAGTATACCCAAGACTATACGGACTGGCTCTTCTTTGTACATTGTTATTTGCACAGTGGGGAAATCAAACTCCCAACCTCTGGCTCCACGGTCGGATACTTAACTCACTGAGCTATCCAGCCAGTTATTTTTAAAGCAGCGCTCCCCAACCTTTTTGGCTGAGCCTCTAAGGAAGGCATCCCCTCGCAGGTTCATGCGGGTGCATGTGTGCTCTCGGATGCATGCGCAAAAGGGTGGAGGAGCGCTCATGTCGGCACTGGCACATGTGCGTGTATGCAAAGCAGCTGTGGGGAGGGGAGTGCGTGGGGGGGCAGGAGGTCTGTCTTCACAGCCCAGTCCGGCTCAGGCCACAGACTAGCACCGGGCTGCTGACCAAGGGTTGGGGACCCCTGTTCTAAAGACTATCCTCAGGACATCCTTGATTCTTTAGAACAATCTAAACTAGGGATGGAGACTATGCGGTCCTTGGCATGTTGCTGTATTGTTAACTGCCACAGTGCCTCATTATTGACTAAGGTGGCTGGGCTGATGGGCCCTGCAGTCCATCAATCTCTGCTAAATCCTACTGTAGCAGATGGCGGTCCAGGAGAGGATTATCCTTGGTTCACCTTCTGAAGAACTGCTATTTTGCTCCACCCCCAATCTGATTTTTATGACAGCCAGAGAGATACAGGAGATCGGGCATGGGATTAAGACTGGGGAGACATGGATTTAAATCCCTGATCAGCCATGGAAACATGCTGGGAAGTAGAAATGGTTAAACCACTCCTTAAACATCTCCCAAACTTTTAAAAACTCTGTTGGGTCATGGTAGGTGGGATGTGAGTGGTAGCACATACCAGCAACTTTAATTCTTATTAGAATCCATGAGATTTTACCAATCCGAATCTCATGCAAAGAACATAGATATAGAATTAAAAGCCCAGGAATGTTGTGTTTCACAGCTGTTTTGCATAAAAGTTGATTCCTGATTACCTCAAGCGGTCTTGAGATCTGTTGAACAATGTCAGGCTGGAAGAGAGACATTTTATAGCTACTAATGTTAAACAAGTGGGAATCAGAAAAAAAAAACCTTCTCCGTGTTTTTCAGGGATCTAGCAGTCAAATCAGATATACCTTCAACCTGTACCTCAGCTATATGTGCACTGGAACAGACTGACAGAACTCTGAAAATTTACTTTTTTGGACTACAACCCCCAGCTGGGAAATTAATGGAGGTGTAGTCCAATCAATTTTGCAACTTTTCCAAATTCTGGCTTTGATGTCATCATGACTAAATATTAGCCTATTTGTAGGAAAATAGTAACTTACAGTTCTAAACCCAAAAACGAAAAAATAGTTTACTAATAAAAAAAATATCAAGGAGCAAAAATAGGGCTCAAAACTTTACATGACTCACAAATCATAAGATTTTTTTTTACTTGCGTGAAGACCCCATGACTTTGGAATATGCTTTAACTCAAATCATCACATGTGCTTACAGAGCAGTGGTGGCTGGTGCCCTTTGTGACTGGTGTGTCACTGTTATAGGAGTCAATTCTGAAAGAATTTGAAGTAGGGAAGTGATATTTAACATTTATGCAAACACATGTTAATACTGCAAGTATTATGATTAAAAAAGCCACTGACTTAAATTTATTCATTGGTCCCAATGAGAGTAAAATAATGCAATTAAGGAAATTTACATAAGCATACACTTAACAAGTCCCAAGTGATTTAATGAGTCCATTCCAGCTGGAATTAAAATTGGATTTAGGGCAGTCAACAGAGTTAAGTACAGTGGTGCCTCGCTAGACAGGTACCCCGCATGACAGATTATTCTCTAGATATTAGCTTTTTGCGATCGCTATCGGGATTCGCAAAACAGTGATTCCTATGGGGGAATTTCGCTGGACAATGTTTGGTCCCTGCTTCGCAAACCGATTTTCACTAGACGACGATTTTGACGGCTCCCTCCGCGCTTGCAAACAGGTGTTTTCAGGACCTCAGCTTCGTAAGACAGCGATTTAAACAGCTGGTCGGTGGTTCGCAAAGCGGCTTTCCTATGGCCGATCTTCGCTAGACAACGGCGATTCTTCCCCATTGGAACGCATTAAACAGGTTTCAATGCATTCCAATGGGGAAATGCTTTTCGCTAGACAATGATTTTGCTAAACAGCGATTTCAGTGGAACGGATTACCATCGTGTAGCAAGGCACCACTGTATCATTTTTTTGGGGTGTACCAAAATGAGTATGAGTCAAAAACAGAACAATCTCTCTCTTTTTTGACTAATTTTGATATTCCACTGACTGGTTTTAAAAACAGTTTGTTTTTAGTTTTAAGGTATTGTGACTGAAGTTATTGTATCTTAATGTATTCATTGACTGGAACGTTAGTAGAGAGGGAAAAACTAGTGTTGAAATACTTTGAACAAAGAGCCAGAGCTTTGAAAAGTAACTTTGTGACACTACAGTTTCCATTAGTGTACTTGGCTGGGGGATTCTGGGACCAAACAAAACAAAACAAAAGCAAAAAAAAAAAAAAAAGTAACTTTACCAAGCAATGCTAACAGCAAATGAAGAAAGCCAGCAAGCTTTCCAACCAGTAAAGACGAGAAAGAGGGCGGTGATGAGTCCGATTTAAGGAAAAGATGGGAAGCTGTTCTGCCTTTACCGTTTCGGACGCTAGAGGCTCCTTTCTCCAGATTTTCTTGGGAGTGTTATCCTCCGTGAAGGAAAAGAGGGGGGAAAAGTGGAGTTAATTATGTATATGTCAGTTTCAGGAAAGGGGTTGTACTTGGATAAGAGCAAGGGGGTGGAAAAGGATCTGAGGAAATAAAAGTGCAGAAATAAAGCCCGCTCGATCGCACAGCATCGGTGGAGGAGGCGGCAGCTACAGCTTCTCAAGTCGAAGTCTTTGGGTTGGGACGCGGCTGTGGGCGAAGTTACTTTTGCTTTGCTTGGCCCCTTTCCCCATTCATTGGCGAGGAGCTCGCTAGCTGTGGAGGCAGCGAAACCCAAGCTCCTACGGCCAGCCGGGATTGGTCGCGTTCGTGATCACGGTGGGCAAAGCTGCTCCAACTTTTTTAAAAATATATATTTTAAAGTATTTTTTTTAAATTTACAAATATTTAATGATATATATACATCATTAAAAAAAGAAAACTTTTTCTTGCTTCAACTTCTTCAACTTTTATTTTCCAAACGAGGACGTATGAACAAGGGTGAGGGAGATCGCACACTTCCTCCACCTACCTGGGAAAACTAAACGACCAACTTTCTACAAAAACCCCAAAGGGCCCGCGGCAAAGCAAAGCAAAGCAAAGCAACCAAAACAACGAGCCGGCTCAGCAGCCACCGTCTTTTCCCTCCGCCTCCTCCGCTTCCCAGAAAAAGCGACGAGCCCGGCTCCAGAAGCCCAGCCGGCGGCACCGTCCCATCGCCTGGATTCTCCTTCTTGTCCACGTCCTTCCCCTTCTTCTACAAAAACCCCAAAGGGCCCGCGGCAAAGCAAAGCAAAGCAAAGCAACCAAAACAACGAGCCGGCTCAGCAGCCACCGTCTTTTCCCTCCGCCTCCTCCGCTTCCCAGAAAAAGCGACGAGCCCGGCTCCAGAAGCCCAGCCGGCGGCACCGTCCCATCGCCTGGATTCTCCTTCTTGTCCACGTCCTTCCCCTTCTTCTCCATCCCCCCCCCCCCCCGGTGAAGCGAGAGAGGACGAGTGTGGCTTGGAAGGGAGATTGACCCCTCGCCCGCCCCAACCATGCAGAATTACAAGTACGACAAGGCGATCGCTCCGGAGAGCAAAAACGGAGGCAGCCCCGCGTTGAACAACAATCCGACCAAAAGCCCCAGCAAGAAAGTTTTCCTCATTTGCCTCGACCTCGTCTGCCTCTTCTTGGGTGAGATTTGAAAGCCGGCGCCTCCCTCTCCCCATTTCCAATTTAATGCACTTTCTTCGGATAACTTTTCTGTGCACATGCACGCACAGCCAACTTTGCTGTTGCACAGACTATCCCTTTCCTCCTCCTCCAGCCTCCCCTCTGCAGAAAACTAACCGATCTACTCTTCTTCTTCTCCTCCTCCTCCTCCTTCTCCTTTTTCTACTCGTCCTCCTGCCCTACTTTTCTCTCAAACTTCGCCGCTCAGCGCCACCACCGACTTCCTTCAGCCAGCCTGCCTTCCAAGACCCGGGTGCAAAAACGAATGGCTCGCCTCTCTGGGATACCTGTTGCATTATTATTATTTTCTCCCTCACGAGATGCAAGCCTCAGCTTTTCCGTGCATTTATGCGTGCGCGCGCGCGGTGCCAGCGTGTGTCCCTTGTTTTCTTTTCGTGTTGGGTGATGTTATGCCAGAGAATAATGTGCATGGACTTGGGGGAGGGGGAATGCAATCCCGACCCCTTCCATTTGAAAAGGCGATCTGAGGTGACCGTGTACGCTTAACTAAACAAAATGCACGCCCTCCTGTCGTTCACACAAGAGGGATAAGAGCAGCCGGGCGTTGTTTAAAGCCCAGAAGTACTTTTTAAAACGTGTATGTGTGTGAGGGGAGAGGATGGATTGGGTTGGTCTTCGTTTACTCTGGGAAAGCCCCCCCCCCGCGAAACCACCGAGAGGTATGGGCAAGACGGAGCAGCCCTGGTGTCAGTCCAAAGAAAATGGATGTCACAGCGGTGAGCGCGGGGCGTCGTGTGTAAACAAAGCATCTCCGCGCCCCAGCTCGCTCCCGAGAGGCAGCCGAGAGGAGCGAAGCAGGCATGCTGCCCACCCCTCTTCCCCCGCCCTCCCGCCACTTCTTTCTTGCTCCTTTTCACTGCACTAGTAAACAGGTCTCCAAGGTGCCGCCCTCGGAGGTTTTCTGTGGTGTGGGAACCTTCCCGGCTGGGGGGGAAGGGTGGGGGAAGTCGCAGGAGGGGAAGGGGCAGAAAACTACCTCAGGAAAAAGATGGAGAGCCGTGGCAGCGCCGCCGACTGGTTGGCTCGGTTTGTGTTGTGGCCTAAAGGTTTCAAAGATTCAGCGTTTTCCAAAAGACAATTTGGATCACTCCCAAAAGAGGGATGAAATGGAGCTGTGCAAGAGAGAGAAGAGCTTGGCTGTAGCCTCTTTTGGGGAAAGAAAGAGAAATCCTGTAACCTGTCAGTGTTAAGAAGAGAAAGCTGTGCTGACAAACTTCTTAGGACTGTTGTTGGACAGTTGTGACGTTCCAGGGAAATGTGGCCTTGTGATATGTATTTTTACAAGAGAGACATCCTTGCAAAGTAAGGGACTCCCCATGTATTTGTCATAAGAGCGGTGTGGCAGGCAGAAATTCAACAGGTGTCCCCTCTCCTGGGTTTCTTTGGGACTTCTGGCTCCCACTCAGCTGTTAACAACATGGGAACTCTGCCATCAAGAATTATTGAAGGTGACAATCCTAGTAAGGTATAACTTGTTCGTGGTGGCCTAAATTTTCGTGGACAACCACTCACTTGATCGCTGCTCCTGGAAGGTGGTGAATGCGTATAAATTTAGTCAGAAGTCATAATACAGGAGAGACAACCAGCTTAACACAATGAAGACTTAAGAAATGTCTGGAAATCCTGTTAATTCCTGATAAACATCTGTCTGCTATAATAATCTTGCAAACCACCAGGGATAGAAATGTAGCTCTCTGTATGAAAAGACGGTTTCTTAAGATGGCTTGCTCCCCAAATAACTGTCCAAAACAAACATCACAGCTTCTATAGGGCACCCTTTATCTAGACAGTGAAGGTGCCATACTAAATTGCTCATTGAAATTGCTCTCCATAATGAGGACCAAAACTGCATGTGATCCCAATCCTGAGATGTCTTACTTCTAGAAGCATTTTAAAGATTAACTCTCAGGTGACTTGACTCTAATGTTTTGTATGCATTAACGGGGTTGTGTGCATATGTTTTTAAAGAGAGTTATTATAGATAATGAGTTAGTCCCAAGTTGAGTAAACACATTGAAATAAATGGGGCTTATGCAGTTGGTGGTGAACAGCGAGTCTAGTTCATTTCAGTGGGACTCCTCTAGTTAAGACTTATCCTGATAAACCTAGCAGGTCTCTAGAATCAGGATAAGGATGATTTCATATATAAAGCAGCAACAAACTACTGTACGTTTGGCTGAGAAGAGCATCCAGTAAAGATTTTCTGATAAGTGGTGGTCTAATATTTATAGGCCAGTATCCTGTTGCTACTCCTGACTGAAAGCATACTCATTGATATAGTTATTGAATGCTAAGTCAAAACTTCTGCAAATCTTATTGAGTCAGTGGATCTTCTCTAGTTGTCAGTTGCAAAAAGACACTGTCCATGGTGATTTCAAAGATCTTTTTGTCCCAGTCATACTTCACGTTTTTAGTACCTATTAAAATGTTACATCAGAAACATTTTATCCAGAAGTGTTAAGATACTAGATGTGAATCCAGTCTCATACAGATTGGAATATATTTTATTGTAGTTTATGCTGGTTAAGAATCTTGCTCCATTGAGAGAGATGTAATTTGCTCACTTCCCTCCAATTTGCACAATATAATGTGTATATAATAACAGTGTGGGTCTATGTTTAGAAGCAATTAAACCTCAGAGTAGAATAGCTGTATACAAATCTCTTCTTAACCAGCTGTCATACAGACATATTTGACTACCTCCCTCACCTAGCATGGGTATTGGTCATGCTGGCTGTGGATTATGGAGTTGTGGATCAACCACTTCTGGAAGGTAACCAAGTGCAAAAGGCTGTTTCACTGTATGAAAGCAAATGAGAAAATATTCCTTTGTAAACAGATTATTGGTATGGTCCCTGACACTTGAAACGTTTCATTGAAGTATAATTGGCCCCATGCAAAGCATCATTGTATGAAATAGGGATTATCTTCCATTACTCTATTATATATACTTTGCTCATGGAGGCTTAGGGAAGACACACATCGCTGACATTCATTTCTCTTGTCATTGTGCTTGATAAGCAAACCAGTGTTCATCAGTGCCATTGTCTGTAGTACTCAAGTAATTAATAAAACCTGCCTTCTTCACAAGCTACAGTACAGCAAAATGCAGATTAAAGGGTGTAGCTGTGAACTGTGTCTAGGAGGCCTGTGGATGAAGTGGAAGTCACCATATAAACAAAGATCTGAGTTCCAGTTGTGCCTACCAGATATAGACCATGTATGAAACAACTTGATACCCATGTGTTATGTCAGCTATAGATCACAAACAGCAATGCTTACCAATTTGTGAAGTGTGTGTGTGTGTGTTTTAAGGAAGCTATATAGGGACATACAGTATAGCTATAGGAGATTGGAAATGTATATATATATATATGCAACTTTAAGTTAGGAATGGCATCAAGGATTTATCATTTGGGGTAGTGTCTTTGTTCTGTTAAATATAACACTCTATATCAATATATCAATAAACTAGTTCTTGAATACAAGTGTATTTCAAGAACTAGTTTATTGATGCTGGAGGCTTTTTATAGTCAGTAGTTTCTAAGATGACTAAGGTGCCTTAGAAAGTGTTAGGTAGATTGATAACCACACACCAACCAAATTAAGAAGGTGAGAATCAAGGATAAATAACACAGGAGATTGCTTGACTACTACAGTGGACCCTTGACTTACAGATGGCTTGACTTACAGACTTTTTGAGTTACAGACTTCTCTGGCCACAAAATTTAGGTTTGACTTGCAGACTGAGATTTGACTTACAGACCAGAAAAAAACCAAAATGGAACAAAAACGGCCTGTTACGGGATTAATCGGTTTTCAATGCACTGTAGGTCAATGGAGACTTGACTTACAGACTTTTTGACTTGAGAACCGCCTTCCAATATGGATTAAGTTCTCAAGTCAAGACCCCACTGTAGAACTATTCAGGTGGCAGCTGAATGTCTTAGTGCTTCATCAGTCACATTCTGCTCTGTTCTTTTCATTTTAGGAACATGAACATTTTCTGCAGAATGAAAAAACAGAAATTCTATATGCTTGGAAGTAACTGCTTATCAATAAATACAACATGTAGGATCAGCTCTTGTGTTTTATGGTGCAATCTTGGGCTTGTCTACTCTTCAGGGACTTATTTTCAAGTAACCATGACTAGGACTTCAGTCTTAGGCTCATGTAAATCAGATGTAGTGACTATTTCTCCTTTTTAAAAGAAAGGAGATCCCTTCATATCTGTGTTAATGTACATTTTGTTGCCATGAGTATCTTGCAAATTCCATTCTCATCCCTTAGAAGTGGATCTTGAAAACACATTCCTTGGCAAATTTGGCCTCTTTCCTATATATGCCTAGGACAAAATTGTGGCCTGCTTATGAGCAGGCCTGTATAGGATTGTACTGTTTATGTGTTGGCTGTGATGACCACTTGAAATACTGTATGTTTGTAAGGCTCAATGACATATAATCAATGACATCATAACACAGCCATTTGGGGTAACTAAAGATGCCTCTGGTCTCATCTAGAATGGCTCATTCTGTGTTAATTTCAGTGACAGCTGTTGCCTTTGTTCCTTTTGATTATAATTAATGATCAGAATGAAAGACCTGCATCTTAAACCTAACTCAGTTGACTAAAAGAGAAATCACATTGATTTCAGTGGGACTTCTAAGTTGTGTGCACATTCATTTGCATGCGAATCCTATTGACCACAGTGCAAACTTACTGCTTCCATATGCATTGCAAGGATTGGTCAATAAAACACCAGTGATATTCTAGTTACCAATGATGTGTGTGAATATAAAATGCACAAGTGAATTACATTTCCTGTGAGCATCCTATTAACACTTTAAGTGGACACTTACTCATCTTCCCAGAGATGCATCTGCTGTCCATGTGCTGGCAGTTTGTCAGTATTCTTTCACTGAATGAAAGGGCAATAGAAG